TGGATGGGTGGGTTGGTGGATGGGTGGGTGGGTGTGTTGGTTGATGGGTAGGTGGGTGGGTGGGATAGCTGGATGGATGGATGGATGAAGGAATGAAAAAACAAYAWMAAAAAAACAACAACAAAAAACAAAAAAACAACTAAAAGACCGAAATGTAACAGACCTTTCAATTGAGTGACCACGAAATAATGGTTTCAAGTCGAGGATGGACTTGACRAAACACAGTAAATGTATGAACACATAAAGTCCAACCTCGACTTGGTGCCATTGTTTTGTGGTCACTCGAGCGAATTCGGGAAAGCTCTATTACTTAATATCAATCAGCTGAATGGATCTCTCATGAATTTCATTGCCAAAATTCAGTGAAGAGCATWCACTTCCCTCCATGGGCAGTATAAAAAATTAGTTAGTAAAAATTACACACCAGACCGCAAACGAGGTTTATTRATAGCAACCAATCCCCCCTCCCCTTCCACAATGAAACAATGAATGATAATGAATATCACTGATTGACAGAGTACTTACCGGGCAATCCTCACAGTACTGTCCTGTGTATTTACGATTACACTTGCATTTACCACATTCACATTTACCTCGTTCACTACCACCACACACGGGCTGTTGACGGACACAATAAGAAAACATTAGAAATACAGTAAAATACAGTTACAGCTGTTTTATTTGTTTTATTATATAGTTAATAATCTTATTTTGGCATTGAATTTACTTACGTAAAAAGAAAGACGGTCAAAAGATCTAGCAGCACTTCGCGCGCGCGGATGTTGTTAGCACAGTTTTCGACCAATCAGCGCGCGCGTACTATCCTAACTATATAATACAGTAAAATACAGTTACGAGACAACGGGGGACCATTGATTTCCTCACCGATTCCTTGTCTTGTCGACATTCAAAGTCAAGTAACGAACAATTTCTCTGCCCACAGTTGACTCCAACGTAGAACCCTTTACATTTACATACACCGCAGTCACAGACTCCCCGCTCTGGGCCTGGTAACAACAACAATCAAAAATACCATCAATATTATACATCTATTTAAAGTCAAGGCAGTACTAACTTACAGATCGAACCCTGAAACAACCTCTTGGCTGATCTAAGTCAGGGCATGGCTAACTCACAGATCGAACCCTGAAACAACTACTAGGCWGATCTAAGTCAGGGCATGGCTAACTTACAGATCGAACCCTGAAACAACTACTAGGCTGATCTAAGTCAGGGCATGGCTAACTCACAGATCGAACACTGAAACAACYWCTRGGCTKATCTRAGTCAKGGCAYGRCTAACTCACAGATMGAACCCTGAAACAACTACTAKGCTGATCTAAGTCAGGGCATGGCTAACTCACAGATCGAACACTGAAACAACTACTAGGCTTATCTAAGTCAGGGCATGRCTAACTCACAGATCGAACCCTGAAACAACTACTAGGCTGATCTAAGTCAGGGCATGACTAACTTACAGATCGAACCCTGAAACAACTACTAGGCTGATCTAAGTCAGGGCATG